AGTCATGATATAATGACATAAATAGTGCAAGACAAACTTACATCCCCAAAACAACACAGACAACCATACCACAACATAAACAAAACGACGCTCTGCTCTCTCATCACACAATACAACAACGTCCACAATCTCGCACAGACACGTGGATGGGATCAAGAGCTGAGAACACGACACAGACAAATACACAGTTATGTGACGCAAAACAGTAAACATGACACACGCCTCATAAACGAATTGTGCCAGAACTACAAAGACCCCAAACAATTCTGGACAAGGTGCAAAAAACTCATGGATACAAATAAACAACATTGTACACACATCTACAACGAACACTACCAAAAGACTGATATCAAAACAAGGCATGGAAACACTACACAGACAGTTCTGGCAACTTTCAAATCACAGAAGACAAAGACGAACTCTTTGATACAAACACTGAAAAAGTTTATGAGGCACTACAACAATCACCTCAACTCCTACAACCCACAAATACCATCGACCTCACCACATTAGACAGCACAAACATCTTCAACACACCGATCACACCGAGAGAAGCCGCAGATATGATTCAACACACCAAAAACAAAACACCTGGGCCAAGCAAAATCAACAAAACAATCCTCCAACACCCACCCAACATGATACACAGGCTCTGCCACATATTCAATGCTTCCTTGGCCACAGGACTCTCTCCTTCACTGTTCAAAAGCGCAACACTCACACTCATACCTAAACGCAATAAATCAATCCATCATGTCACCAACTACAGGCCGATCTGCTTGCTCGAAGTCCCGGGGAAAATACTCGAACGCATCATAACAAACAGACTAAACACTCACCTACAAACAAACAACACAGAGGTACTGAGAGTGCTATACGAGGAAATATCCCTCAGCCTCGCCACAAGGAAAAAAACAAAAAAACAAACAAACAGACAAACATCATTCACCGGGACATCAGCAAGGCCTTTGATAAGGTTTGGCATGATGGATTGAAACACGATCATAAACCTACAATTACCACACAACTTCACTCGCCTTATCTGCAACTTCCTCAACAACAGAACAGCAAACATACGCATAGAACACTTCCTTGGACCCTCCATCCCCTCAGTAGTGGGGTACCCCAGGGGAGTATCCTATCACCAACAGTATTCATACTCTTCACGGCAGACCTTCCACTTCCATCACTATTCAGCAACTACATAACGTACGCAGACGACATTACCCAAATCACACACCCCAGCAAAAAAAAAAAAAAAAAAAAACAATGAAACGCGCTACAGAAAGGGCCATCACAAACTTCAACACTTTCGAATGGAAGTGGAAAATACAAACAAACACACACAAATTCACTATCATCCCAATTGCCAAACTCAACCCGCCAAACATACAAATAAACAGCACAGACATCCCCTACACAAACACAGGAAAACTACTCGGCCTCTCCTTCAACACTCGGGGTGTAACACCACACACGAAACAAAGAATGTCACAGACAAACGCCACACACGCCAAATTACAGAGATTCGCACAATGTACAACGCGAACAAAGCTGAAACTGATCAAAACAGTAATCAGACCCACACTTGAATACACGCCAGTGCCACTACACACCATATCAAGAACACAACGAAACATGCAAGCAGTTCAAAACAAAGCTTTGCGCTGGGCTGCAAACCTACGATATCCCGACATTACACCTTCACACATACTCCACGAAAGACACATCGAACCACTCAACACTCGCATACACACACGAGCAGCGAAAGCATGGGAGAGGCTCCAAAACGCAGACGACCCACTCTACACAAACATCCTCGAGACACAACACAAACACCAACCACAGCTGGTGGCCACGGAGAGTGCAATTACTCTCGTTACTTATGTGGAAAGGTATGAATGAGAACGAATATCTTCACAAGATATTCGTTCATACCTTTCCACATTTGTCAACATGAATACGGTTCATTACTCACGTTACACCCACCCCGCCCCCTGTATCCACGCCGATCTTAAAAAAAAAAAAAAAAAAAAAAAAAAAAAATAATGGAAATAAATAAATGGGGACACACTCATCCTCCAGGGGACCCGCTTCCACGGACTTTGGTCAGCGAAAACCGAGGCAGCGGGTCACTGCAGGAGAGTTAGAAATATACAACAAATAAAAAACATACGAACATATATGTATGCATGGGTGTATCCATGTATTATATATGAACGTATCATATGTATGTGCATACGAAACTATATCAACGTTCTCTCCCGTATGAATGTATGTACATGTGCGTGTGTGTGTATATGTACACGATAATATGTGCATGTGAGTCCGCTTTCTACTCACGAGTATGTGAGTGTGTACGTATGTGAATATACACACGCAATTTGCGAGTGTATGTGTGGACTCGCGTGCGAGTATGTGCGCGCGCGCGCGACTGTATGGCGTCCCAAGAATTGCATCAAATGTCTGTTTATTGCTCAGAAGAAAGTTATAAAATGCAGCTTTCAGAGAACTAAATATACTTAAATTCTATGAACTGAATTATTACTGTTCTGCTACATACGTTTTTAAATGTTTAAAGTGCCCAGATAACACATTGTTTAATTATTGCAACAAGTCAATATACTTTAATGTTACGCTTCTCCAATTCCCATTTTGTAACTCGTCCCAGTCAAAGACGGCCATAGATTACCGAGGTCCAAAGATCTGGAATACACTTCCCGAAAATCTGAGGAATAAACCTACCTTTAAGGCGTTCAAAAAGGCTGTCAAGCAATACTTTGTGGCTAAATATAACTATAACAAGAGTAAAATAACGTATCAATAATATTCATAACCAAACATATTCCGATACTTAATCTTTATACTACATTGTCCACCATTATTATTTCGTCTTTGTATTTTATTCCATGGTTTGTTTTGTAAATGCTCTGTATAGTTTATTTTACTTTGTCTCTGTCGTTGTAATGCATGACTAATGTATTTGTCTATATTGTCTCCTGTATATTATTATTCTGGGTACCCATCAATATAACTGATGAACATGACCCAAATTCTCTGTACATTGTTAATCAACAGCCTTTTCAAGAGGGTTTCGCTCTCAAGAGGCTGAGCCACGTTTTATATAACACTAAATGTACCCACATGATCTGTATTACTATTTATGGATAAATAAACCGTTTCAATTTTAATTTCAATTTCTGTCATAATATCACTGGATTTACCACAGGCAATTGTCTCAATACGACACATGATCATTCGATGTGAGGACATTCATTTTATGTACTTCCCCTTGGCGTAATATCATAAGGAACTATTTGTAAGCAGCTAAAACAAAGGAAGCTCCCCGTAGATTATACTATTAAAGTAAAAAGTAATCATTCACAGGACAGTGCTGTGATTTTGGAAAAGTAATTATAGTAGTTAGGATGTCTGATACAACAGGATTCTAACACTATCCTATGGATGATTCGGTCTTGATACTCAATTTTAAATGCCAAATCTTAACAAGTTTTTGTGTCCATATACAAATGGTTCTCATGTATTTAAACAGTCCAAAGAATGCCCTTTCGATTGGCATAAAGTAAACTGAAGGTTTCATTGACCAAAGTGTTACAGATCCCTTCACTTTACAATATTTTGAGTGACAGATTCCTGACCATCAAAAGTTACAGGGTACACATTTTCGTTCGCACATGTAGTATGAATTAATTAAAAATGTACCATAACTCAGAACAGCCTTGAACGCAGCCACGCTGAGAAATACATTTATTTTCGATTAGCTGTAAATCTGAAACCGCTTGGGATGTCAACCTTCTTTTTGATGCCATTGTTAATGATATTAAATACTTGAAAAAATAATGACATTCTGCATGGTGTGTTACATATTCAAGAAAAACCCAATTTGATATTGAATGACCCCTAAATTAAATAAAAGTCACATCACTTCCATTGGTGATGGTAGTTCTAGTTAGAATATTTAAATGAGTTATCTAAGCTACGAACTAATAAATACTCAACCATTTTTTTTCTTGGCAAAGTGGTAATACAAGGATCTTCTGTGTCGATTTGAACCGGAGGATAAATTAAACAAGGATAAATCTTACAAACTTTGATAAAAACGTAATTAAAAAACAGAACTCGGCTGGCCGTTAGGAGGGGGCCGTGAAACAGCCTTAACAGGGGGAGTGGAAGCCGTAGGGTAGTGGTGGGGCCCCGCGGTTCGTGCTGGGAGAAAGAGCCCCCACCTGGCCTGGGTTCTGAGGCGAAGGGAAGGGCTGGCCAGAAGGCCTGCTGGAATCGAGGCCCGTCGGGGTCGGCAGGGGGGTGTGCGTGGGGGATATATTCGGAGGATAAGGAATGACGTGTGAGTGCGGACTCCGACTTGGAGTGCGTGTGTCTGCGGGGGAGTAGGCTTTGGGAGAAACGCTTGCGTCCGTGTTGATGATGATGGGAGGCGGCCCGTGGACCAGAGGGGTGATGTGGACACGGGAAGAGTCGAACACAGCGGAGTGAGCATCTTTCGTCGGATACGGCTTTGCTTGCTTTGCTAGTTCGATCACGGACATCCTGCGCATCATCACCGTGTAAAACTGAAATAAGGCGTGACTTTCTTAAATGATAAATGAAATTCTATACATCTACGCTTTTCTACTGCAAAGTTATCTAGTGTATGTATATGCACGCGCACGCGCGCACAATATACACGCACACAAACATATATTTATCTATATGTGCACATGTGTATGTACATATAATATACAAGCGAAATGAGAAAGATGAATGATGGTGCGAACACTGACCCTCTGATGCAGACCCCACGCCGCGGCCGCTACGAATATGGCCCAGATAAAGCTTAAACTGCACAGCACGGTAATGCGGTTATTCATGCCTCGACTCCCATCGCGATCGTCAGCAAACTCGGGCAGGAAGAAGAGGGCGATGCACTCTGCCGTTCCGACGCACACCAGGCCAACCAACCAAGCCACGTTCGCGCGCACGCTCTCCAGGTCGTGTGCTGAGGGGAAGGTCTTTGACTAGGGGGAACGGAGAGAAAAGAAGGGGGATTAATGGATGGATGGGAGTGAGGGAGAGAGTAAAGAGAAGGAAGAAGAGAAGAGAAGAGAAGATAGAGATAGATAGATAGATAGATAGATAGATAGATAGATAGATAGATAGATAGATAGATAGATAGAGAGAATGATGGTGATGATGAATGGTTAGATGATGAATTGATGATGTATGGGTGATGACTGATAGATGGAAGATGTTTGATGATGGATTTATGATGATGAATGATAATGATTGTATGATGTATGGATGATGATAACGCGCGGCGGGGGGGGGGGCAAAAGGCTGCGAATATAGAACTTTAGTGTTGGGGTAATTGATAAAGTCAGGGAGGGGAAAAGAGAAGGAGAGAGAGAAGGAGAGGGAAAGAGAGAAGGAGAGAGGAGAGAGAAAAGAGAGGAGAGAAAGAGAAAGAGAAAAGAGAAAAGAGAGAAAAGAGACAAAAAAGAGAAAAGAGAGAAAGAGACAAAAAAGAGAAGGAGAGAGAAAAGAGACAAGGAGAGACACAAAGAGACAAGGAGAGACACAAAGAGACAAGGAGAGAGAGACAAGAGACACAAAGAGACAAGGAGAGACAAAAAAGACAAGGAGAGACACAAAAGAGACAAGGAGAGACACAAAAAGAGACAAGGAAGAGAAAGAGACAAGGAGACACAAAAGAGACAAGGAGAGACAAGAGACACAAAAGAGACAAGGAGAGAGAGACAAAGAGACAAGGAGAGACACAAAGAGACAAGGAGAGACACAAAAGAGACAAGGAGAGACACAAAAGAGACAAGGAGAGACACAAAAGAGACAAGGAGAGACACAAAAGAGACAAGGAGAGACACAAAAGAGACAAGGAGAGACACAAAAGAGACAAGGAGAGACACAAAAGAGACAAGGAGAGAACAAAAGAGACAAGGAGAGACACAAAAGAGACAAGGAGAACAGACAAAAAGAGACAAGGAGAGGAGAGACACAAAAGAGACACAAGAGAGACACAAAGAGACAAAAAGAGAGACACAAAAGAGACAAAAGAGAGAACACAAAAGAGACACAGAGAGACACAAAAGAGACACAAAAGAGAGACACAAAAGAGAGACACAAAAGAGAGACACAAAAGAGACACAAAAGAGAGACACAAAGAGACACAAAAGAGAGACACAAAAGAGACACAAAAAGAGACCAAAAGAGACACAAAAAGAGACACAAAAGAGACAGCAAAAAAGAGACACAAAAAAGAGACACAAAAAAGAGACACAAAAAGAGACAAGGAAGACACAAAAAGAGACAAAGGAGAGACACAAAAAAGAGACAAGGAGAGACACAAAAAAAAGAGACAAGGAGAGACACAAAAAAGAGACAAGGAGAGACACAAAAAAGAGACAAGGAGAGACACAAAAAAGAGTCAAGGAGAGACACAAAAAAGAGACAAGGAGAGACACAAAAAAGAGACAAGGAGAGACACAAAAAAGAGACAAGGAGAGACACAAAAAAGAGACAAGGAGAGACACAAAAAAGAGACAAGGAGAGACACAAAAAAGGACAAGGAGAGACACAAAAAAGAGACAAGGGAGACACAAAAAAGAGACAAGGAAGAGACACAAAAAAGAGACAAGGGAGAGACAAAAAGAGACAAGGAGAGACAAAAAAGAGACAAGGAGAGACAAAAAAGAGACAAGGAGAGACAAAAAGAGACAAGGAGAGACAAAAAAGAGACAAAAGAGACAAAAAAGGACAAGGAGAGACAAAAAAGAGACAAGGAGAGACAAAAAAGAGACAAGAGAGACAAAAAAGAGAACAAGGAGAGACAAAAAAAGAGACAAGGAGAGAAAAAAGAGACAGGAGAGACAAAAAAGAGACAAGGAGAGAGAAAGAGAAAAAAGAGACAAGGAGAGAGAAAAGAGAAGAGACAAGGAGAGAAAAAGAGAAGAGACAAAAAGAGAAAAGAGAAGAGACAAAAGAGAAAAAGAGAAGAGACAAAAAAAGAGACAAGGAAACCCACCTTGACGCTGTAGATGATGACCGAAGTGCACAAGATGTAGCCGAGGTTGAGCAGCAGCTGCGGGACGGACACGTAGCCCCAGGACCGGTCGTCGGACGCTTCCAGATTGGGCCGCAGGAGCAGACCCATCACCAGAGCCCATATCACCTGTAAAGAGAGTCAAAGTACTGATCCTTACTATATGACGAATATTGTGTACATATAAGTATGCATACACATGCGCGCGCACACATACATAAACACACACACACATATTTGTACATTTTGTACATGCACACACACACACACACACATTTGTACATCACACACACACACACACACACACACACACATTTGTACATGCACACACACACACACACACACACACACATTTGTACATGCACACACACACACACACACACAACATTTGTACATGCACACACACACACACACACACACACACATTTGTACATGCACACACACACACACACACACACACATACATGCACACCACACACACACACACACACATTTGTACATGCACACACACACACACACACACACACACACACATTTGTACATGCACACACACACACACACACACACACACACACACATTTGTACATGGACATGCACCCGCACACACACACACATTTGTACACACACACACACACACATATTTGTACATGCACCCGCACACACACACATATTTGTACATGGACATGCACCCGCACACACACACATATTTTGTACATACATGCACCCGCACACACACACATATTTGTACATGGACATGCACCCGCACACACACACATATTTGGACATACACACATATTTGTACATGGACATGCACCCGCACACACACACATATTTGTACATGGACATGCACCCGCACACACACACATATTTGTACATGGACATGCACCCGCACACACACACATATTTGTACATGGACATGCAACCCGCACACACACACATATTTGTACATGGACATGCACCCGCACACACACACATATTTGTACATGGACATGCACCCGCACACACACACATATTTGTACATGGACATGCACCCGCACACACACACATATTTGTACATGGACATGCACCCGCACACACACACATATTTGTACATGGACATGCACCCGCACACACACACATATTTGTACATGGACATGCACCCGCACACACACACATATTTTGTTGGACATGCACCCGCACACACACACATATTTGTACATGGACATGCACCCGCACACACACACATATTTGTACATGGACATGCACCCGCACACACACACATATTTGTACATGGACATGCACACCCGCACACACACACATATTTGTACATGGACATGCACCCGCACACACACACACATATTTGTACCATGCACACACACACATATTTGTACATGGACATGCACCCGCGCACACACACATATTTGTACATGGACATGCACCCGCGCACACACACATGGACATGCACCCGCACACACACACATGCACCCGGACATGCACCGCACACACACACATTTGGACATGCACCCGCACACACACACATTGGACATGCACCCGCACACACACACACATTTGGACATGCACCCGCACACACACACATTTGGACATGCACCCGCACACACACACATTTGGACATGCACCCGCACACACACACATTTGGACATGCACCCGCACACACACACATTTGGACATGCACCCGCACACACACACATTTGGACATGCACCCGCACACACACACATTTGGACATGCACCCGCACACACACACATTTGGGCATGCACACACAACACACACACACACATTTGGGCATGCACCCGCACACACACACATTTGGACATGCACCCGCACACACACACATTTTGACATTGCACCCGCACACACACACATTTGGACATGCACCCGCACACACACACTTTGGACATGCACCCGCACACACACACACATTTGGACATCACCCGCACACACACACATTTGGACATGCACCCGCACACACACACATTTGGACATGCACCCCACACACACACATTTGGACATGCACCGCACACACACACATTTGGACATGCACCCGCACACACACACATTTGGACATGCACCCGCACACACACACATTTGGACATGCACCCGCACACACACACATTTGGACATGCACCGCACACACACACATTTGGACATGCCACCCGCACACACACACATTTGGACATGCACCCGCACACACACACATTTGGACATGCACCCCGCACACACACACATTTGGACATGCACCGGCACACACATGGACATCACCCGCACACAACACATTTGGACATGCCCCGCGCACACACACCATTTGGACATGCACCCGCGCACACACACACATTTGGACATGCACCCGCGCACACACACATTTGGACATGCACCCGCACACACACACACATTTGGACATGCACCGCACGCACACACATTTGACATGTACCCGCACGCACACACATTTGGACATGCACCGCGCACGCACACACACATTTGGACATGCACCCGCACACACACACACATTTGGACATGCACCCGCACACACACACACATTTGGACATGCACCCGCACACACACACAATTTGGACATGCACACACCGCACACACACACACACACACATTTGACATGCACCCGCCACACACACACACACACACTTTGGACATGCACCCGCACACACACACACACACATTTGGACATGCACCCGCACACACACACTCACACACAATTTGGACATGCACCGCACACACACACACACACACATTTGGACATGCACCCGCACACTCACAACATTTGGACATGCACCCGCACACTCACACATTTGTACATGCACACGCACACACATTTGTACATGCACACACACACATTTTACATGCACCACGCACACACACATACATGCACACGCACACACATTACATGCAACAGCACACACATTTGCACATGCAC